ACCCATTTCTGGTTTCATGATTTGATAACAATTACTGTTGAGTCAGCACTTTCTACTTTCCCAAGCCAACTGCTTAATCGACGTCCCAGGTGTTGTTTTCTATCGGGTAATGGCGAAGTTTGACTGATGACCAGGTGTTTTCATTATTACCAGGTGACAAATTTTACGACCCAGTCACTTTAAGCGCCTCCACAAATCATTTTTGTGTTCTTTCACTATTTTATTGACGTCTCATATTTTTATATAAGTGATGAATTGCTGTCATTTTGTTTCAATAATAAACATTGCCATTAGGCAACGGTAATTAAATACTTGTGAACCTAGTTTCTTTCCAATGGATATTGTGATGATGAATATTTCAGTATGAACTGCTAAAAAATGAGTAGGCGCAAGCAGACCGTCATTGATAAAACGACCATTCGCCGAACACCATCGGGACGTCTTCTCTCCAGAAGTTTCACGGTTTTTTTAAACATTCGAGCGCTTTTTATGTTCAATTTTTGTTATGAATGTGACCGATGTAATTAACCGAGGGAAGAAACGCCATCTATGAACCGAGTTTCCCACAATGAATGCACCAATGATTAGAAATTATCGAACCGTGCCAATCGATTACCAACTGATTACATTCCCATCGTCAGTACCGCTTTGAAAATGTTTTCTTTTGCTCACCCATGCGGAGCATACGTTCAAAATAACTCATCTAAACCATCTTCGATTCAGATTAGTTTATGTATTCTTAAACTCAGACTCCAAGAAAATGCGGAAGCTCACAGTGTGTTGCTCTTTTGCGTCCCCTGTCATCGACAAAAATTAACCTTCTTCATAAAATTGAGTAAAGGTTTATGAGAAGCCAATCATCAGGGGATTTGAAAACAGGAAGGCATCAGTTCAGTGATCCGATTTATTCCCCTCGATTTGCACATTCGGATCGGTTGTACTCTACTAATCCGATCCTACCTTTCCCGCGCGCCTCATGTGAGAGGATGATTTGCAGAGAACTGTGTACTACGATGATAAGGACGACGAAGGGCCTTTTCGGCAAAGGAAACCTACTGAAGACATCCACCACCAACAACAGTATGTAGCGAACAAGCTGAACATTGAACGTGAAACATTTCTACGTTTCCACGACGACCACCAACCAGAATTCGATCTTCGAGGATATCGTAAAGATTCGGTCATATCAAGAAACGATAGCGATCGCACAGTTGGAACCGAATACGCTGGTGAACTGATTGAAATTTGTCAACATTTATTTCCTGTTACTGAAGAAAAGATGAGGAGATATTTTCGGCGTTTAATGGGCTCATTTAATTTATGAATTTTCAAAATGAACCCGCATCGATATTCCATTGCAGTTCCAATCTGACATACAATTATCGGAGGAAGAGTGATGTTTGAGTGATATTT